TTTTTCAAAACTATGATTAATATTAGTTATTATATTTAAAATTTAGTAAAATTTAAAGTGCCTAAAATATCTCAAATATTTCTTAATAATAATGAATTTAATAAATACTAAGTTTTTTGGATATATATATATATATATATATATATATATAATAGGGCTAAATAATTCCCGCCTTTACGCCTTACTGAAACGATTTATTTATGTGATTGAGTCCGACGACTGCCATTCTGATCCTAAACTTTTTTGTGCTCTTCCTGCTACCTTGGAGACCGCCACGATCGATCGATCGATCAATCGACGAAGCCTGCCATGAAATGGGCGGAATCAGCATTGATAATGATGATGATGGTGGTGATGCTGATGAGGACGAGGAGGAGGAGGCGATGTTGGAGTCGTCGATGACTCCCAGCCTATAGCAGATCTCTTGTTCTCGTCGTTCCAATTTGTGTAAATTTCTCTCTTGATTCATCAAGATCTTTATTCTTTTATTATTATTTTTTTCTATATCGTCTCGTTTCCTGTTCTTTTTCAGGTCGATCATTTGTATGTTCGTTGGGTGAGTGTTTCCGCTAGATTTCTCTGCTCTCCATCTTTCAGCAAGCTCGTTGTCCATGGGATCTGGTAATTGCCAATTCAACTCTGTGCGGCATGTATAAATCTATGAGTTCCTCTCTTACCTCGAGCAAAATTTCTCTTTTCTCGCTGTCCGACGAGAACAATCTCTCTTCTCCTCTGATCGTCGTTGCTCGGTTTCCTCTTTTGCTCGGTGACAACAATCCCTCTGTTGATCTGCCAAAATTTCTCTCTTTCATAACATCTCAATTCTTCACTTTGATGGTTTTTATTTGAATTCCTTTCCTTATAGGCCTATGAGTTGCTATGTTAATGAATTTGAACCATTAATCCAAACTGCTCGAGTTCAAACCATTAATCCAAAATAGCATATGTACTCCAAACATGGATATGAATGCACTCATATGTAAATTTATATGTAGGTCTCTCTGGTTTAAGTCAGATACAGATATGGATTCAGACATGCATTATCTTACAACTAGTAGTACTTCAAGAAACCCAATGAACATCACTTGTGAATTAGCAAACCTCATCAGAAGAGAAGAAAAGAAACTTCATGCATATGTCTTCCGGGATTTGGCAGAGGTATGTTTCCCATGTTTTTATTGCCCAAAGTTTTGGATGCCATAGTGCCTATCTTCTGGAGTTTCTGATGCACTGGTGTTACAGAGCTTCACACTAGGGATCGGTGAGAGGCACCAGCCGATTGCATCGAGGTACCACCCACATCCTCCGGTGAAACCCACCATCATTCCTCCATCCATGGGTACTGTGAACTGGGTTCCTTCCTCGACACCAAAAGTCCTCTTATTGCTCATGAATGCAAGCGACCTGATGACAGGAGAACCACCATATACTACATGGCAGTAGTGGCGACTTCATCAGGTACTCCAATTTAATCTGCATGGTTGTAGGTTCCATTTAACATGCATGAGTTGAGCACTTGCAAGATTAATGGTAGATTACAGCTATAATAAATGTTGTTGGATCTGATTTAGTAGTGGATATGGGTTAGATTTTGTGTTAAGGACATGTAATCCAATCTGAATAGATTGGATGGTCTACTATGGTTAACTTGATCTTAAATATTTAGAACAAGTGACTTAGGTTCATCAACTAAGATAAGAAGACGATTGATTATTCTATCGGGAATGGATCATTCACGCTGAAAAATTAGCTAATGCTTAAGGAGATTTGTGACAGTGATTGGTGACCAATATGCAAATGCCAATGTTTGATCAAAATCAATTAACTTTTTTACTACAAAAGCCTTACAGCCATGGTTATATCACTAGCAGAGTGAGCCTTCCCTTACCATGATTGACTCCAAGCAGCAAGTGATCCACTTCCTCTATGAGAAGTAAAATGGAGAGGGTGATATCTATATACAGAATGTGATGAAGGTGGAATTCAAAAGCATAAGTGTGTATAATTAAACATAAAAGTTTCAAACTTTTAAATCTACAGTTCTATGCCTTGGGGTTCAGAAAAGCTGAGCTATGTATTTCACTGGATGGTTTACACTCGAGTTGAATGAGCTGAATACATCCTGAGTTTATGTGGATATTTCACTGAGTTTTTTAACAAGCTGGCATATGTCACAGAACAAATCTTAACTAATATCTCCAAAAAGATTCTATCCCTGTGCTTTATTCCTTTTTCAGATTTGACTCAGTTTAGATTGTATTGTTGTAATCAACATAACAGTCTTCCTTCTTCCAGCTGATCCAATGGACAAATTTCAGAATATTTTCTAAATGATGACAAACTTCATATCTTTTGAGTCAAGACTTCCCACAAAAATGGTTGCTGACATTTGGAGAACTGAAATTATTAAGTTGCACTTATATAGAAGCTTAAACAGGACGAGTCTCCACTTCATAGTAGATAATAGCACTAAGCATCTTCTTTTCTTCTTTTGGATTAAGAAACATCTGGTTTTAGCCTAAACAACTCTCTGGGAGTAGCATCTTCTTCGATTAATTTAAGATGGTCAATTTGTAGAAGAAACAGCTCTCTGGTCTTGGTTAATTCCATTCTCTGGAAGTGAACAGGTGTAAACACCTCTCTCCTGGAGAACCATAGTGTTTTGCATAGTCAGAATGCTTTCTTGGTTGGCAGCAAAGGCTTAGCGAGGCTGGCAGATCTCAGCTGCTGATGGTAGGATGAGGTCTAGGAGTTAAAAAGGCACCTGATGCCAATGCATAGTCCATTAGGAGTTTTGAGTTCTACTGTAAACTCACACAGCTTGAAGGTTGCCTCTTGAATCAGTGCTTTCAGCTGACCACTGACTGGTAAGTATTCCTGATAGCACAAGGCAGCATCAAATGGTAAGTTCCATACTCCTCAACTTGTGGAGTGTAACAGAGATTTATATGAAACCTGAATCAAAATGGATATTTGAAACCCTGAGGAATTGAATTTGCCAACTCAAAGCAACTAAATCCTAAAGGAAATCCATAAGAAACATAACTTCAACTTAACCATGGAATCTGAAGCACAAGAAATTGTGATTACAGTGTCCTGTACACTTTGGACATTGTTCTAGAATGATTTTTGACCAAACATTAGCTGAAAAACTGTGGCTCATTTGCACACTCCAACAAAATCTTATATCCATCCAAATGTAGTTCTTTGAGACATTTACAGTAACTACTGCTAAAGCTGATATTTATACCAAAAGAGCCATATAAGATTTCTTTCATATTATCATATCCATATATAAGACCAGACAATTGTGTATTGTATCACCAAATAAAAGAATAGCCTAGTGTATGACGCTATCGAGAATATGGAATTTAGTGAGAATCAGTTAAGATGCTGTTTACATGGCTTGAACTATAGTCATTGAAAGTAATCATACCTTAGCACCAAAGTTCACTCTCTATTATTGAGAAAAAACTCCAAAGTGAGCTCCCATCCCCATCCGTGAATAAGTTGAAACTCACTTTTGAAAGGACACAAGTCATGAGTCATGTTGTTGCCTCCCTTCTTGTATTGACCGGAAAATCCTTGCAGCTGACTCCGTAGCAGACCTAGAATTATGAGGCACAACCTTAATCACACGAGTCTGGCTATCTGTACCATTGGATTGTAATGAGCAATTAAGACTGCTCGCTCCAGGAGCTGTAGGAAATAGAAGAAATTGATCTCTTTCTTCTAGTTGTGCCTTCTCAGAGGGGCTGTTCACTGTGCTTCCTTGAAACTCACTGTTCTTTGACACCTGAAACTTCCCAACATGGCCAGGAAATGCTTCCTTCCTAGGAATGGGGGACATGTTACATGAACGCCTGGAATGCTGACCAGTTTGTCCATTGGGCTGTGAACCAGCTAAATTGCTGACCTGTTCGACTGCAGAGGTAGAAATGATTGGGTTCCAAGCTTGATGGCCATAAGGTGTGGGATAATACAGGGGTGCAATTGCCGAAGGACCTGGTAAAATACCCAGGTTTGGTGGCTGATGAGATGCTGAAACACCAAAAGCTGGGTTGATGAAGTCTCCTGCCACTTGAGATGCACCAAGAGGTGTGCCTCTTCCATAAAGAGGGGCCATGAAGCCACCAGTTGGTGGGCAAGGTCCCGTATAGGGCTTGTAAACAAGACCTTCCGAAGGCAACATTACAGGAACTAACCATTGGTTTCCCAGGGGAGGAAAACACAACAGTCTTGACTTGTCATCTGGAGCCATTGGCACTGGTAATGGAATACCAGAGTTGGACCCTGCTTTTGGAACTTGACCATGTGGACCTCCTTTAGACCCATCCTCACATGCAGGGAGAGCTGAAACTCCAGCAATGTTATCAGCTGGCTGCTCCTTGTTCTTTTTTGGGTTCTGAAGACCATCTTTTGGTCTAAATTCCTCAGGCCGAGGATTTGTATTACATCGAGGCAGGGTCTTATTGGGTGGTTTTACTGAACATTTGCTTAAATAAGGATTGCCTTCAAGAAGCAAATGTGGCGATGCAGATATCAACTTCTGAACCTGTTTCATTTAGAATATTTACTTCAGAATCTTTGTAATTCTAGCTAATCTGATGATCTATGAATTTGCAACTGTCCAAAACTAACCTTTATTACCCTATGAAGCTCAAATACTTGTATTGCAAAATCCTTTTGCTGACTGGACAAAAATTAAGAACATGTGTCATCACAGAGAAGCACACAAAACCATGAAAAAATTACAAAATTTGATCTAACAAATTAAAAATAGTTCTAGAATTGCTGAATAAAAGAAAAGTTTATTCATATATTTCTGTGTAATATCCAATCTAATACTTATAGATGCAGTACATATGACAGTTACAGTACGTAAGACTAAGGCACACATGCTTTGACATTCTTATATACCACAGGAGTTCCTTTATTGGGAAGAGGGTAAATCTTAGAATCACCGTAAAGCCACTGCTTTGCAACCTTGCTAATCAGGTTCAAGTTGCAAAAATGATCTCTCGTTGGTAGAAGCTTAGTGCACTGGGAGCCCTCCCTTTTCTTTTTGCTTCTATCGGGTGAATTAAGTCAAAGAGTCATTTACGCAGCTCAAATGGAAATCTTAGTTTTTTTACATGTAAGAATTAATTGCATTAAGAAGCCTAGAAAATGATATCTGTTTCATCTCGACAACAAAATTTCACATAGTTTCTGTTCAACTTTGGGAAAACTATGTTTGGTTTATGATGTACCACTAATATATAATATGGGACTTCTAGGGTCCAATTTAGATGAGTTTAAAACTGATCAGTTGAAATTCACCAGGCCCAAGTTTGCTCATGAGACAAACTTGCAGAAATATCAAATTCTGATAAGCAGGAGGGAACTAATCAGGCTGTTCTGGTTTGGCAACAAGTTGCATTACTGCCATTACTGCAGACAAGAAGAAAGAAACCAGTAGAAAATTTAGTCTCTCTAAAGAAGAAAAGAATAAATGAAAATTTTACTTTAGTGCATTTTTCTTATTTTTATTCTTTTCTCATTTTTGTATATCCCTATTTTTCTTGAACTTTGAGAGATTTTAAAATGGGGAAGGGGGTCGTAATTGAGAAATCAATTAATCAATGAACCTATGAATGAACAAAATTATTTGTTACACATTATGTCAGAGACTGATGAGAGGCCACAATTTTTTTCTTCCGATGGTATAATTTCATTGTCCATGTGTAAAGGTGTGATAAGAGGCCACAGTCATTATTTATTTTCTATGATATTTTAGAATCATTATTTTCTCAACCTCTCTCTTTCCCTTCCTTTATTCTCAAATAAAATAAAATACTTTATGTGCTTGTCATAAGCTTGTTCTACTTTAAATTGTCAACATGATATCAATCGGGCCATGATTGTAGCCACAACCTGGGCCACTTGGTAGTTAAAAGAAGACAACAATCATAGGGAAGATAAGGGATAATTTTTTTAGGATTTTTAAACAAAAAAAGTTTGCCAAATAACAAACATATTTTTTAGATTTCACTAAAAAAAGGGCATAGCCAAGTTCCCGCCAATGCGGGGTCTGGAGAGGTTCAATGTATGCAGCCTTGCCTTTAAATATTTAAAGAGATTATTTTTATGACTCAAACTCTGATCTCCCAAGTCGCCAAGGAGCAACCTTACCGTTGTTCCAAGACTCACCCTCATTTATTAGTGAAATCTTTCTAGATTTCAGTAATAGTTTGAAATGAATAATAAACTCCATGCTCGAGCAAATTACAATCAAGAATGCATGCATGCAAAATATGGATGATCACATTTCATGTGCATTAAAAGAATGTACATTTTAAAGAATAGGCATACAGTGATAGTAAAATACTACGTACTTGATAATAGCTCTTCGGGCTTTCCAAAAATGCTTTGAACCAATCACTCCAACAATATCATCTGGGGATATCACCAAACCGGACACTGTGCCCACAATTAAGGGCTCAGATGCATCATCTTTTCTTTCTAAATCTCTAAATTCCAATAACCCATTTTTCTTTGCACTGTCCTCTTTGTGGCAATTCCCAGAAATATCTGTAGCTCTATGACCTTTTCCAGGTAAAGCTTTATAGCATAATTGCCTTCTGGTCTTCATAGCCTCACCATCATTAATAACAGCAATATCATTCAAGCGCTGAGTTCCACTCTGATCACCGTTTCCATGACACAATACTGTATCGCCATTCGTTGATTTCTCAGTTAAATGCAAACTGATTGTATCATCTCTAGCCAAAGAATCTTTCGGACTGTTTGATCTCTCACCAGTTGTATGGGATAACTTTTCTTTGGCTTCTTTGGGTTCTCCGATTGTTGAAGTTTCTTTGGGCTCTTCAATTGTTGAAGTTTCCTTAGGAATTTTTCCAATATGAATTCTATTAGAATTTTTTGATTTCATGCAAGCAATATCGGTTTGCTGTGAGGGCGTCTTGTTTGACTTTGGGAACTGAACCGAAGAATTGATCCTAGCAGAAGGAATCTTCTGTAGCTGCTGGGAATTTAAGGTAGTTGACTTACCTGGATCAGTCATGCGTGTATCTCTTTTCGAGGATGCAAGAATTCCCGAATGATCTATATTATCATCCATGTCATCCTCATCAACCATTATCTTCCCACCAGAAATGTTCACACTAAGGCTGTGTGGTCTCAGTGGGCTACATTCAGCAACTGATCCTGTACCGAACAAATTTCCAGAACTTACTTGCTTCATAAATTTTCTCTTGAACTCCATCCTCGTTGGAATACCATTTGTTTCATCAGGCGTACAAGATTTAACTATCTCTGCTGAATGAAAAGACACTTGAGGAGAAATGTACAATGGAGAAAGCATAATCCTTTGATGGTCACATCCCTAAAACAGAAAAACAAAAGCTAGTTAGCAGTGATTAACTTGACAGAGAAATAACAAATGTAATGACAGTCACAATATAACCATGGTTAAAAAAATCAAATATTGATGTTTAAGGTTCTTAGAGAGATATACTCAGAAGTTGAGACGATCATTTTCCTTTTGGTCAAAATATCTCCCACGATATGAAGACAATTCTGGACATAAATTTAATTTCTTTCGACACCAAGGAAGGGTGGACCTTAGTACAAGAGCAATGTTGGTCCTTTGCATCCTCGGTGACCAAGGTTCAGATCAGGGAAACAACTTCTCTGCGTGCGAAGGTAACCCTTTACAGACCCATACTGGCGGGGGAGATCGGTGCATTGGGTTGCCCCCCCTTCTTGCCACTAACGACAGCCGATACCCATACCCATAGCAACCATGCAATAATACCTCTGACATGTTAAAGGTTCAAAGCAGGAAGACACAATGGTCAATTGGAGCCAGTTCGTGAGGTCAAGCATATATGCCATTGAAGCAAGCCAGGATTCAATGTGAAAATTCATACACTTTTAAACATGAAATGTAGCAGCAAATGGGATATTCTGTGGCTTCAGTATCATCCAAATTATCTCAAAATTGATTGTTGGTCATTATCTCATATGATAGAGCATCGTTTCTATGTAAAATGCCATAAACAAAGGTGAAGAAGCAGAGGAAAACAACTACAAGGGAACAAAACAGTAGCAATAGAGGAAAATGATTGACATGAGCAATGAAGTCGGTTCAAGCAAAGTCAATTGTCCATCCCTGTTAACTTCTCAAAGAAGAAGAAGTAATAATCAGATGCATT